GCGCTGGCGAAACGATAGGAAACAAAACTTCAAGAACACGGCCACACAGCCCGGAAGACCCACACCAGCCAAAGCAACGATTATACAGAGCTTAGTGGAATATCTTTCATGCTGGCCCGGGATAGATACAGAATCTTGGAAACAGCCAGGGGAATTTCCAGCCCTCCTTTATAGTAAGTCCATTAAGGCAGAGTTTCTTTATGATCTGAAATGCTTCTTCACGGCTTTCTTGTCACCTGGGCTAAGTTGCTGCTGATGAGATAAGCTGCTGACAGACTCGCCTTTTCTTTCTTGAGTATTTATGTCCCCTCTCCCTCCGTCTCTTCCCAGCCTCCCCACAATCTCTCATCTGTTCTGAGAAATGCTTCTCTGTTGATAGAGCAATTGGTCCAAAAAGGGGTCCTTTAGGACTGTTGAATGAAGCCGGTACCCAGAATGATGTCCCTGTAGTCAATGTCTGGGAAGAGAAAGGAAGAAAAGAAGGCTGAACTTTGTGAGTTAATGGACTTTTGGGCTTCAAGGATGCCCCTTTCCCCAAAATGCTCTCTCAAATGCAAGTTTTACCCTGTGTTTGTATGTCTATCTATTCTTAGACTTCTTTCATAGTAAGCACATGGATTAAAAGTAATCTGTAAAGTTCAAAGCACCTTAATAAGAAGTTTGATGTGTGTATGTCACCATCCAAGTATGTTGATATTAAGCCGAATGAATATAATCTTACTCCAGGTGGGTAAATCTTTAAACCACACTCCTGATTTTATTAACTTGTGTCCATGAGATGAATTTTTTTTTTATTTTAAACCCACACACACCTTGACAAGCTGATATAATGTAAAATGTCATACGGGGATAATCCTTCTGAATATTCAAAAGCAAGGTGGAAGCTGTGGAATTATTTCCAACTCCCTCTGTGCTTTAATTAGTTAATTCACATTAACTAATCACTGCGTATGGACAGTTTGTTGACAGAGTTATTTGCATTTAAGTAATCAGAGTTCAGATCTGCATTTTTCAGGTATGTTTTTTAGCCTGAGGTCTTTAGGAAAACTTCAAGCTTAATTCGTCTTACGTGGAATTAAGTTTCACTCAGGGCAACAGACTAACTTCCATGACTATATGACTGTCCTCTTCCATCTTTCACAACTGGGTTTGCATAATGTTTTGTGGACATGTGTAACACAAACACCATTCATCTTGCTCCTAAGAAGCTATAAATGTGAGGGTGACCGGCAGATTTGTAAATTCAGGAATGCCAGTTGGAGACACAGGCCTGACAGTGTGTTCCTCTTCTGTATATCTTTGAGGAATGTTATTCTATAACACAGTGTTCTTCAACTTAGCAACTTTAAGATGTGCGGACTTTAAGATGTGCGGACTTCAACTCCCAGAATTCCCCAGCCAGCCTTGCTGGGAGTTGAAATCTGCACATCTTAAAGTTGCCAAGGTTGAGAAACACTGCTATAACATCTTATATACGAACACTGAAATGGAGTAACTCTTATGCGAATTGCTGGGCAGAAATGTTGCATTCCCATAGTTGAAGGAAGGAGAGATGGAAAAGTGTTGAACTGAAACTGAATATTTGATTTTAAAAAATAGGCCAGTTGACCAGTTAAATATTGCAGTCGGAGTCCAAGTAGGTGAAAAACATTTAAAACAAATAAAGGCTTGTTTTTGGAGGGCGGGGGTCTACTGTGATAAGCACAAGCTCCAAGCCAGTGATGCACTCCTGGAATTTGTTCCCCCTGAGTTCTGCGCATAGCTTCATAAGAGAGGCTGTTGCATTGTTTGCCCCTGTGTTGATTCAAATCAAATAAGAAACCTTTAACTTGGATAAGCAAAGCTTGAACTTACTTTCCCTTTCCAACAGTCTTGGAAATCTCCTTTGCAGGGCTCGAAATAAAACTCACCCAGCTTTAGTTCTGCAAGAATTTAGAACTGATTTTTCCGAGCAATTTTGCTTTCTAAGTTAAATTGTCCTCCTTGCAAGTTATCTCTCATCCTATCTATATATTACCTGTATTTTCTCTCATCGTGAAATTGACCGTGTCTATCTATTACCTGTATTTTGAATAACTTTTGATTTTCGATCGTAATAAAGGTTTGGTTTGATTTGAGCTGGTTGAAAAGGCAAAAGGTATTTTTTGCCCAATGTATGAGTTCAGCAGCTTGGTTTGACTTTGAGGTTTCTGCATAAATACAGAGGTCTCTGTTTCTCTTCCCATTTCTATGGCTTTGAATGTCTACATGTGTGTTCTCCACCCACCTGGGGGTCTTCATGTTACACATAAAACAAGGGTATCCCCTAAAGTAGCATTTTGCAATTACTTTGTTAGATTGCAAATGTGCTGGATTTGCTAAAGGTGGGGAAAGTGGAACCTTATAATTTGCTTCTCTCCAATAGTTGAAATGCTATTACCCTGAAATAGTTCAGCCTGTAATTAAATTTCTGAATGTGACAGGACAAGTGGCTTTAGCCTCCAACTAGGACAGGAAGCTTTTAGCTCACGGTATTTGGTGGAAAATAGTCTTAATGCACAAAGAGCGAGTGGGGACTGTAATGCCCGTGACATTCATGAAGCCTTGGTAATGTGGCATTTTCAGAGCAAGGTAGATGGAGACATCAGGGAAAAAGCTAGTTAATGGGTTAATACTGGGGTTTAGAACATTTTTTTTTTAAGGGAAGATGAGGCTTTCCCAGAACTCTTGTAAGTTGGTACTACAGGTAATCTCATTTAGCCTCTGATAATGACTGTTTGCAAATACAATGGTAATAAATGCTAATAAAAAAATCATTTTCGGACCAATATGCACATTTAGGACAACAAAAGCCTTTAGTGTGAAACTGATTAATGTCTGGTCAGTTTCAGACCGCAGCTCTGAGCTGGGGGAAGTTCTAATCAACTACAGTAATTAAGGTCACAGAGCTGAGTTTGTTCACTTGCCATTAGCACTTTTTAGGGAAGTGCTGCACTGTGGAGAAAAACAGCTTGTTTAAGTGTACTTGTTTAAGCAATCTCTCCACCCTGTGAGAGGGAGGCAAAAAAACAAAAAATGGGAAAAACTGGGTCAGG